GAATAGTCATCTTTTTCCTGATATGGTTACTAATCAAACATCATTAAATTAATTTGCACAAAATTTTTAATTTAAGAAAGCACAAATACAAAGTTATTGATAGGCATAAATAGGTAAGTAATCATTACTTATGTAAACATTGAACAAAAATTAGTTTTTATATCATTACTAAAATTGCCATCACTATTATTACTTACTTAAACAAAGAATACGGTAAATGTATTACTGCTATAGCAGGTAATTTTTATAGCAAATTAGTATATGTCACAGTAACTTGTTTCTGTTTACTTGGTAGATAACTTTTTAGAACACTTTTAACAAAAAAAGCACTAATACTAAGAAAAAGTAAATGACACATAAGCCGAGCAAGCAACAAATATTTCATCTCAACTACTGCTAGTCTAGTATGTATTTAGTAGCGCGCATCACTTTTTTCTTAATCACAAAAGTATTTTTAGATTACAAATTTTACATCTTTAAAGTTAGCCCAAATCGTCGTATTATGACTTGTACTATTTTTTACTATGATTCATATGTTTGTATTGATTCAGAAGTTGATGTTATAAAATGAAATTATTTGATGCTACCAATCCAAATATAAATACGCATTTTTTGTTTACTTTTGTTAAATTTTTGTTCTAGAAAGATGATTTTTGCTTCATATTCCGAAATACCATTTCAGCACTCATTTCGGAAACAGAGACTATCCTAATAAAGATTTCAGACTTCGCTAAATTTCATTTACTTTTGCTGTTCCTACAATCTCAAAGAAAAAAAAATTGAAAAATCACTTCTAGACTTGAAAAAAATCACTTCTAGGTTTTACCACAACTTACAACAGCTATGCGATACATAATTTCCATTCTCATTATCCTGACATGGAATACATCATTTTTGCTGACTATAGAAACGTTTAAAACAATCGAGAATGAGAGAGATGTTTCGCTACGGAAAACTTCTTTCTTGGAACGCTTGCATAACAGTCTCGAAAGGCTGTTATCATCAAAAAACGATGAAAGTGGTAGGAAGCAAGTGATGAATGCATGGAATATTCTTCCAGAAAACGTGAAACAACAAACTTTAACATTACTTCATGACAGAGTAACGTCAGTGGATAAAAGAATGGAAAAATTGGATCAAATCTTAATGCCATATGGTGGTCGGAAGGTTAACTTTTACTTGTTGATAAGCTTGCAGATAGAATTTGATAACACTACTGTATCTATTTTTAAATTACATTTAAGAGTACTTTTAGCAATACAGTTTAACAGTACCTAGCTAAACTGTCCAAGAGATTGTTGCAAATTAAATTTAGAATAGAAATAAAAACATTCAACTTAATTACTGTAATATATTATTTAGATTATTGCCTCCTCACATATGAATATCACAAGTTATTAATTTATTTTTAGCTTTTAATGCAACGAGTTGTCAAACCATACGCAGTAAAATAAATCAACAACAAAAATGGTAAGTTTTTTAGGTTTATACCTCTGATAAAAAACTAGATTTGTACAATTCTCTTGAGTCAGTAGCTTTGGAAAACGTCACACAACTCATATGTGCACAAATACACAATAAAATCACCGACGCCCCTCTGACCTTTAGTACCCAATACTTTCATATAATTGTTACTGTTCAGAACACATTTTGAATAAAAATTAAGAAAAGCCATTCCATTACTTCATAGTAAAATTTGTTAAACTACAATTATTTTCCAGTCATGACACAGATGATAATACACTTTTTTTACTTTGTTTTAGCATTTTGAAGAGAAAATAATTTAGATGCTGCATGCAATGTGTCTTATTAGTCCAAAATATAAATCCTCCAAACTGTGAATAGAATCAACGGAATTAAGAGTATCGACAAAAGAGGAGGATGCTGTAGATGCTGTCAATCTCAACAATTTGCTACTTTTAAAAAGCTTCTCCCTCCAACAATTCTTCATTTTTTGCTTTCAAAGTTGCAATAAAAAGATGGATTGACGAGTCTAATACTACAGAGTAATAACTGAAAACAAAGTGCCATTACAATAATTCGAGACATACATTGCGAGAATATACACTCGAATCCCTGAATCTCCTGCTCCTCCACATGCGGTATGCTTTAAAATCTCTTCCTGATAACATGTTGATTAATTCAATAATACTAATCCCAACACGTCTAATGCCCTCCAAAAAACTTCTAACCTTACTACTTCACAACTTGGTAGTTTGGTACGTTTTAATAACGAATACGTGACTTTTGAGATATATACTGTATCTACCTATCTACTAGTGACGCGCAAATTGACTGAATAAGAAATGCTACAAAAAAATTTTTAGTTTACGAACAAATTTCGGCCACAATTTGCGTACAAATTTTATATTCACAGGTTGAATATAACCATAGATAATAATAGACACATTTAATAATCAACTAGAAAACACATCTGTACTGATCACAAAAACCATGTTAGGTATTGAAACTAGAGCTTACTGGAACTTTAATGAGTGCAAGAACTAAAATAGAACTCGAAACCAGTAATGCATTGTATTGTGCTAAAGCAACAAAGCTACACCAGTTATATAGCAGTTCCTCTCTCAAGATCACTTTTAAGGTCTTCTGTATATTTGTCATAAAAACGATCTAATTTCTGATTGAATTTACGGTTCCTTTCATTAATATAATCAATAGGTGCATCCGGATCAAACATCCGTCTCCGGTGATATTGATCGCGTTTCTTTTCCCTAAAAATGTGAATGAATTTCGAACAGAAAGAAAATCTTGAAAAGTATAAGAGAGTACTGCCCACAAAATTACTTACGATAGTGAGTAAAAATGAGGTGGCCCGACTAAACTAGGTACATATAACTTATAACACATATTAAACATGCAAATCATGCTCTCTTCCAACATCAGATCCCTGCTTACCTGTTTACTCATTCAATCTCATGATTAGTCCAAACTGCGAAGACAATTTCTTTAAATGCCTATTACTTTCGAGAGACAATGTACACATCAATTTTTTAAAGTTCATTATTTAAAAAATGGAATTACTTACTGTGCTTTGATATCTTCGGCCAACTTATTTAAAGCAGTATCTGTTGGATAATGAGTGCCAGAAATAAGCGTATCTGCTCCAGGATAAAATTCATCTGCACCACTACAAAAACTGATTCATATTGCCAAAATTTACTGGTATTACAACAGAACCTGTTAAACAATGAGACCAGAAAAACCCAACATGCTCTGCGTTTTTAACATGAAATTTGAATTAAAAATGAGATTTGAACTAACTTAATTCATACTTATAGTTCCTTCAACAACTATGTGAATAAAAGTACCGATAAAAAATGATTTAATTAGTAGGAAACTCCACTTACACAACTTCTCTCATTTTTTCATATGTCTTCATATCAGGCTTGATATTCCCGGAAAGTCTTTGATACTGACGTAAGGTCATCGCTTCATAGTCTTGAAAAAGGATCAATATAAAATTTCAGCCGAAAGTCGGATAATTTTTTCAACAGCTCCAAAATCTATGCATATACTGCAGAAAAAAATTATTGATCCTCAAATAAATTTAAGAACAACACATAAACTATGTTTGTAACTTGAAGCAAGTTTTACCACTGAACCCTCTGTCGGGATTCTTTTTTCGTTTCGCCATATCTTTGCGTTCAACTAAATTTGCTTGGGCCTTTAGTGCCTGTAACCTATCATAGTCTTCTCCACGTTCTTCGGCAGCCTAAATCAAAGAGCAATAATTTTAAAATCCATTTGAAGAAAAAATGTAGTAAAGCGCTGATAACAATAACAATGAAACTGCTTTTAAAAGGCGAATTTTAGTAACAGCACACCATACTACTTTGTTTATTACAAAGAATCTATGAATTAATTAAATAAGTAGCATCAAGCTGAGCATTAATTAAAAAATCGAACTTTTCTCATTTCCAACTCTTCCAGTTCCCATTCCTGTCGTTTCCTTTTCAGTTCATAATTTTTTGGCAACTTTGACCTGTGATCCTCCTCTACTACTTGCTCATAATTCAATTTCCGTGATTCTTGCTGAATTTGACTACATAAGAAAGATACAATCAAATAATCACTCCTATTTAATGTTAAAACTTACAGAAGCAATAGGATGAATACTTTGAATATATGTATATATACATATATATATCCAGTTAAAATAACTAGGTAATACATTAAGATTAAATAATTAACAGAAGATACACAGACTTACTAATAATTTGTAAAGATTCGATGAAAAACATTGTACATATTGTGAAAATAAAGAAAACTTACTCGTTTTTGGTGTAATATTTTGAACTTCTGCATGAAAGCCTCTCTTGAAAGTCGTAAGGAACTTGATGCCGAATCTGTGGATGCTGAAGTACTAGCCATCTAAAAATAAATGTATTTAAGTATTTACACTAACGTTTTAACGTAAGCACTAACAATACTTACATACTACATAGATTAAAAGTTAAAAATATGAAATGATAATTTTTTTGCGTGTTTCTCGAAATAACTATGAATAACACACAGATCATCTTGAAAAACTTGAACAATCAGATGTTTCCAGTGTGTTCCTATTTATTCTACGTACAACAGAAAATTTGGTAAACAGAAGCACACGTGAAGAATAAATTCGTAACACTTAAACATCTAAAAGCAAAGCTTTACTGTGCTTGGACACGTACTACATACATAACATGATAGCTTAAAAGTTCCTGGCCAAAGGCAATATTTGGTAGAACAAGTTGCATTTCATAAGATGGTTGCATACATAAATATTCGTTGCATATTGGGATATATTCAGTCAATAAAAGGGTGGCTGTGTGAGAGTGAGAGTTAAGTGCTTATCAACCTGTGTACAGCTTAAGAAACGCACTTTTATTTTGTCTGTTGCCAACTTTATTGTGTTTTCGTAAATGCAGTTGTGTCTTGCGTGACAGACAGAGAGAGGAATTAGAGCATGGTGGGAGTGGGTAACAATGAATGGCATTTGCCTTGAGCAGAGCGGACAGAGAGCGGTTGTTCTGTGGTCGTTGGAGCTTCGGCTCGTTTTTTGCAATTCTGCCGGATTTGGACTTGTCGGATTTGGAAATCAGTTATTGTTAGAGATTTAATCGGTGGAGGCTATATATTATTTCTACGTCTAGTCTGTCTTATTAATCGATTAAATATATTGATTTCTTATTGATCGAAGTGTAGAGGAGTGCGTTTGTAAAGCAGCAGGAGGAGAATTTAAGCTATATTTTATCGTCTCTCTTCACAAAAATACCTACTTATTTCATTTAAATTATAGCAATGGAAATTGAAGTGCGTCAAGTGAGTGGTGTGTATTATAAGGTGAGTCAGGACTGGTTCCTTTTTTCACTGTATTTTTATCATTCATGAAATTTTAGGCAATATTATAGAAGTAAATCAAACTTTAACTAAAATTCAGTAGAAAAAAGACTGCACAAAACAATTGGTCATAAGGAGCT